GTATGTATACATTGGAAGACTGTCAAAAGCTACATATATACAGTATAATTCTTATAGCAAAAAATAGATACAATCAGAAATATTATATATAAACCAAAATGAAATTCTGAAACTTGATTAAATTGTAAACCAGAAGATAGGAAAAATAAAATGAGGAAGGAAAACAGAAAATAAATGAAAAAGAAAAATATACATTTGAGTGCTAACATATTAATAATTACATAGAAAGTAAATAATCTAAAATAAAATGAAAAACATAAATCACAAGATTGCATTAAAAATATGGTATCTAAAAGAAACTAATTTCAAATATAGTAGTATAGGTAAGTTTAAAAGAAAAAGAAAAAGATCTCTCATTAACACATATTCAAAAGAAAGGAGAATACTTATTATTAACACTAGAATAAAGAGACTTCTTCAAAGCAAAAAATAAAACTATATATATAGCTGATATTAGTGATGAAAATATCAGTGCAGGGGCTGGCATTGTGTTATAGTGGGTAAAGCCACCACCTTTGATGACAGCATACCAATTGGGCACCAGTTCAAGACCCAGCTATTCCACTTCTGATCCAGCTCTCTGCTAATTCTCCTGGGGAAGCAGCAGAAGATGGCCCAGGTGTCTCCCAGCACCCACATGGGAGACCTGGAAGAAGTTCGTGGCTTCTGGCTTCAGCCTAGCCATTGAGGCCATTTGGGGAGTACATCTGTAAATGGAAGATCAATCGATCTCTCTTTCTTTCTCTTTCTCTCTCTCTGTAACTCTTTCAAGTGAATAAAAGAAAAATCTTTTTTAAAAATCAGTCCAATAAAAAGACTTTGCTGATCTTAAATGTGTATGCTAAAATCTTTAGAGATTTAAAATATTTCCAGAAAAAACTGACAGAACTAAAAAGATTAATAAATCAATAAATCAGCAAATATTTTGGCAAAATCAAAACCACTAACTCAAAAATGATAGAAATTGGCAATAAATCATCATATATTGATTAAACATTCCACTAAACAGCAAATAGACTTTTTTTCATATCCTACAAATTTATACTAAGATAATCCATATCTTGGGCAATCAAATAAATGCTGACAATTTAAAAGAAATTAAATCATAGAGTTTATTCTCTGACTATATGAAATCAAACTAAAAATGAGAGGCAAATGGAAAGTCTCCAACTACTTGGAAATTACATAACACACTTTTACATACTTCTTGGGTCATAGAAGAAGTTCAGAGGGAACTTAAAAATACATATAAGTGAATAAAAGTCAAACACCACAAATCAAAATATGAGAGATAAAGCTAAATCAGCTGAGTAAAACTTATGAAATTAAATGTACATTACAAAAGAGAGAAAATCTCAAATCAATAGTCATGCTTTCACCACAAGAAAATAAAAAGAGCAAAGTAGATCCATAAAGGAAATAATAATAAATGGAAACCAATTAAATGGAAACAGCAAAAAAAAAAAAAATAGAGAAAATCAATGAATCAAAGAAAGAGCTGTTTTGAAAACTCAATATACATGTAGAAGCTCTAGCAAGGTGCTCACTCTGTCAAACACACACACACACACACACACACACACACACCCCTCACTGGTATCAAGAATAAAATATGATTATGCCTACAAATTCAGAAGACACCAAAAGTAATAAGAGAATTCAACGAACAGTTCTACACATACACATTTGGTAACTTAGGTAACATGAACCAATTCCTTGAAATGTACAAATTACCACACAGCCTCAATATGAGACAAATTTGACAGCTGAACTGTTAAGGAAATTGTATTTATATTATGAAAACTACCAGCAAAGAACTCTATGATTTCCCTGGATATTCTATCAAGCATTTACAGAGGAATTAACATCAAATTCCATATAATTTGTTACAGAAAACAGAAAAGAAGGGAAAATTTACCAATTCATGTTAGAAAACTATACATATTTCCAAAAACAAAACTAAAGACAGTAAAAAATAAAATACGCATCAATGTCCCTCATAATTACAGATGTAAAAAAAAATCCTTAACAAGACATTAACAGATGATACTTGATAATATGTAAAATGAACTGTACACTGTTACCAATTTAAACATATTCAAGGTATGAAAAGCTATTTCCATAGTTCAAAATAAATCAATGTGTTTAACCACATCCACGGTCTAAACAAGAAAAATTCATGGTTACATCAATAGGTGCAATAAAAGTTTATGACAATATTCAACAACCATTCATGACAAAAGTTTTCAGAAATACAGGAATGGACAACTTCCTCAACTTGATAAAGGATATTTACTCCAAAAATACACTTAGTGAAATAAGTACCTTAAAGTGAAAGACAGCCCTTAGTGAATGCACAAGTCAAAGACTCAAATGCTTTCCACGAAGAAGGATATTCATTCTGACAGCTTTTGTTAAACATAGCACTTTAGAATGAATAAAGTGAGATTAGTACTAATGAAGTACTCCAAGATATAGTATAATAATGTAAGATTTTTAAAAAGTAATAAAACTGTACTTATATGCAGAGGACATGATTATGTAGAAAAATACAATCATAAAATATAAATAAAAAATCTTAGAAATGCACAAAAAATAATTGTATAGATAGTAATTCACATAGGAACATCAAAATTTTAAAAACAGTATCACTATCACACACAAAAATGTTTAAATATGTTGAATGTAATTTTTTCAAAAATGGGCAGGATTTTTATACTATCAAGTAAAAAATGCTAATGAAAGAACCCAAAGATTAAAATTAAAGGAGGAACATACTGTGTCCAGAGTTTAGTAGAGTCATCATAGTAAAAACATTAATTTTCCCCAAACTGATACCTAGGTTCAACAGAATTCGAGTTGAATTATTCGAGTAAGATTATTTTAAAATAAAGATAAGATTCTAAAATTCATATGGAAAGCTATAGGATTAAAATAGCTAAAACATTTTTTTTTATTTATTTGACAGATAGACAGTGAGAGAGAGAGAGAGAGAGAGAGAAAGGTCTTCCTTCCATTGGTTCACCCCCTAAATGGCGGCTACGGCCAGCGCTGTGCTGATCTGAAGCCAGGAGCCAGGTGCTTCCTCCTGGTCTCCCACGTGGGTGCAGGTGCCCAAGCACTTGGGCCATCCTCCACTGCCTTCCCAGGCAACAGGACAGCTGGACTGGAAGAGAAGCAGCCAGGACTAGAACCCGGCGCCCATATGGGATGCTGGCACGGCAGGCAGAAGATAAGCCAAGTGAGCCATGGCACCAGCCCCACTAAAACATTTTTGAAAAGGAAAAGAAGGCAGAGGAAACCATTCCACTCACCTTAAATATGTATTACAATGGTTTATCAGAGTGCCTGGGTTAAATACTTGCCTCTGGCTCCTGACTCCAACTTCATAACACAGGGAAGCAACCTATAATGGCTCAAGTAATCACATTCCTGCTATCCATTTGGGAGAACTTGACTGAATTCCCAGATCCCTCCTTTGGATACACCCAAAATACCAACACAGTCCCAGCCAACATAGGTATTTCATGAGTGAAATGTAGTAGATGGTTGTGCTCATTCACTCTTTCCACTCCTTGCAAAAAAATAAAATAAAATAAAAATTTTAAAATTTTAAAAAAATTGCAAAAAGGAAATTCTACTCACAAGTTGGCTCATTTATTTAAAAAAATGCATTACACTGCTACATAAATCAAGAATCAAGATACTGTGGACAGGTAGAAAGACAAACACATAGCTCAACAGAACAGAATAGAGAACTAAGAAGTACACTCCTGCAAACGCACCCAATGATTTTAGAAAAAGGTGCATAAAATAATTCAGGGAATGGAGGCAGGATTTCTAACGAACTGTGCTAGGAAATTGGACATCCACAGACAAAAAAAGAACCTTAACCTCCTAAATTTCTCGTTTTACAAAAATTAAATCAAAACGAGTCAGAATTAAATACAAAACATAAACATATAAAACTTTAAGAGATTGGATTAAGATGGATGCACAGGGAGGGAGTTTACTGCTCCAATCTAGAAGATAGGTTTTTTTGTTTTGTTTTGTTTTGTTTTTTATTTTATTTTTTGACAGGCAGAGTGGATAGTGAGAGAGAGAGAGACAGAGAGAAAGGTCTTCCTTTTGCCGTTGGTTCACCCTCCAATGGCCGCCGCGGCGCCGGCCCTAGAAGATAGTTTCAAAAACATGGAGAGAGGCTGGCGCCGCGGCTCACTAGGCTAATCCTCCGCCTTGCGGCGCCGGCACACCCGGTTCTAGTCCCGGTCGGGGCGCCAGATTCTGTCCCGGTTGCCCCTCTTCCAGGCCAGCTCTCTGCTGTGGCCAGGGAGTGCAGTGGAGGATGGCCCAAGTACTTGGGCCCTGCACCCCATGGGAGACCAGGAGAAGCACCTGGCTCCTGCCATCGGATCAGCGCGGTGTGCCGGCCGCAGCGCACCGGCTGCGGCGGCCATTGGAGGGTGAACCAACGGCAAAAGGAAGACCTTTCTCTCTGTCTCTCTCACTGTCCACTCTGTCAAAAAAATAATAAATAAATAAATAAATAAACAAACATGGAGAGAGTGCAGTCTCAGGAAGTTAGGGGAAAAACAGCAGAGGAAACTCCACACAAGTTAGAGGGACACTGTGGACCTGTGTGGACAAGCACAACTGAGGAACCCAGCGGCCAAGTACTTCAGCAGCAGCTCTGGAGTGAGGTGAGACCAGTCTGCAGCAGCCCAAGCCAATGGTGATAAAGCTGCGGGAAGAGCCTGAGGGGAATCCAGCTTGGGGCCCTGTAGGGGGACAGCATACCTGCCAAACTAGAGGGGAAAGGAAAGGGGAAGGCTCCTTTTTCTCTTTCTGATCACCCTGTAACCGGCCTCCTATAACAAGTTGATAGAGGGCGGGCACCATTTGGACATACGTAACAGCTGCACCAGCTCGAGTACACACGCCAGCAACCAGCAGAGCAGAGACGCCTGAGTCGGGCATGGAGAACTGACAGGGGGCTGGGTGCTTATGACTGTGAGAAGCTTGTGTGCCAGGACTGTGAAAACACTGTGGGCTGTGTGGGAGGCTTCAGGTTGTGACTGGGATTTTGGGTAGTCACTGTGAGAGGTTCCACATGCTCAGGGCTCCCTGATTCCCAGGTGAGGGTCATTGCTGTTTAATCTCTGCTTACACCCAGATGCTATATGTGGACAAATATCATACCCTTGGGGAGCTAGCACCAGGGTACTGGTCTCCTTTGAGGAGAGGTAAGCTGAGACTACACCGAGAGAGCAGAACAAACCTCCCCTGAGGTTTGTTCACAGACTGGCAGTCACTGTGAGAGGTTTCACATGCTCAGGGCTCCCTGATTCCCAGGTGAGGGTCATTGCTGTTTAATCTCTGCTTACACCACAGATCCTATATGTGGACGAATATCATACCCTTGGGGAGCTAGTACCGGGGTACTGGTCTCCTTTGAGGAGAGGTAAGCTGAGACTACACCGAGAGAGCAGAACAAACCTCCCCTCTGACCATGCAAAGAAAAATTAAAAATATAAACTAGAACGAAAGAATAGAGGAGATTTACCACATCCAAAAGGGTGTCACTTTGGACACTCCCCTCACATTAGAGCACTGAACAGAGCTCCCTGGTCACAACCACCACACACCCCTGGGTATTCGCTGAAGAAGCAGACACTCTACTAATCCACAGAGGTATAGTCCAAAGATAAAAACCATCAAAGGGGTCTGGCGCTGTGGCGCAGCAGGTTAACACCCTGGCCTGAAGTGCCGGCATCCCATATGGGTGCTAGTTCTAGTCCCAGCTGCTCCTCTTCTGATCCAGCTCTCTGCTATGGCCTGGGAAAGCAGTACAATATGGCCCAAGTCCTTGGGCCCCTGCACCAGAGTGGGAGACCCGGAGGAAGCTCCTGGCTCCTGGCTCCGGATCGGCACAGCTCTGGCCATTGCGGTCATCTGGGGAATGAACCAGTGTATGGAAGAACTCTCTGTGTCTACCTCTTTCTGTAACTCTTTCAAATAAATAAAATAAATCTTTAAAAAAAATCAAAGGGACAAAACAAAGAAACTAAAGAGTATCTCCATAAATGTCAAATAATAAATGCAGCAATTCAAGAAACATGAGCAAGAACGACAACATGATAGCTCCAAAAGAACACAACACTTTAATAGTACAATGTGAAAATGATGAAACTGAAGAAATGCCAGAAATGGAATTTAAAAAATTGATTGTAGGATTTCTTAGAAGTAATCAGAAGCAAATCCATGAACCAATGAAATACATATGAGACATGAAAGAAAATTTCTCCCATAAAATCGAGATCTTAATGATAAATAAAAATGAAATACTAGAAATGAAAAATTCAATAGAACTAATAAAAAATGCAGTGGAATGCCTTAATAACAGAATTGGTGAAACAAATGAAAGAATATGCAACTTAGAAGACAAATCACAGGAAATTTTAGTCAGACAAAAAAAAAAACAGTAATTAGAAAACTAATAATCATTGTTGGAGATTTATAGGATACTAGCAAACTACCCCACATACAGGTCTCAGGAGTTCCTGAGGGCATGGAAAGAGAGAAAGGATTAGAAAGACTTTTTAGTGAAAAATAACAGGAAACTTCCCATTGCTATTCAATATAGTCTTGGAAGCTTTAGTCAGAGTCATTAAGCAAAAAAGAGGAGAGGGAGAGGGAGAGAAGAGAAGAGACAAAGAAAGAAGGAAAGGAAGAAAGAAAACAAAGAAAAAAAAGGAAAAGAAATCAAAGTGATACAAATTGAAGGAGGAACTCAAACTGTGCCTATTTGCAGATGACATGATTCTATATATAGCTAAATATAGGGGATCCAAAAGACTCCACTAAGAAACTATTGGAACTTATAGAAGACTTTTATTAGAGTAGCAGAATATAAAATCAACACACAAAATTCAACAGTCTTTGCATGCACAAACAATGCCACAGCTGACCAAGAATTTCTAAGATCAAACCCATTCACAATAGCTACCAAAACATCAAATACCTTGGAATACATTTAACCAAGGATATCAAAGATCTCTATGATGAGAATTACAAAATATTAAATAAAGAAATAGAAGAGGATGCCAAAAAATGGAAAAATCTTCCATGTTCATAGATTAGAAGAATCAGTATCATCTAAATGACCATGCTACCAAAAGAATTTACAGATTCAATGCAATACCAATCAAAATAAAAGGAAATTCTCCTCACATCTAAAAAATGATGCTGAAATTCAAATGGAAATACAAGAGACCCCAAACAGCTAAAGCAATCTTATACAACAAAAATAAAGCCAGAGGCATCACAATACAAGATTTCAAGATGTACTACAGGGCAGCTATAATCAAAACAGCCTGGTACTGGTACAAAAACAGACGCACAGTTGAATGGTACAGAATAGAAACACCAGAAACCAATCCAAGCTTCTACAACCAACTTATCTTTGACAAAGGAGCTAATAGCAATCCCTGGAGCAAGGAAAGTCTCTTCAACTAATGGTGCTCAGAAAACTTGATATCTGCATACAGAAGTATGAAACAAGACCCTACCTTACACCTTACAGAAAAATCCACTCCAAGTGGATGAGTAACCTAAATCTATTACCCAATACCATAAAATTATTAGAGATCATTGGGGAAACCCTACAAGACATTGGCATAGGCAAAGAATTCTTGGGAAAAAAAAAACCATCAAGACCTCTACCTTACATCATATACAAAAATTCACTCAATATGTATTAAAGATCTAAATCTAAGACCCAACACCATCAAATTATTAGAGAACATCAGAGAAACCCTGCAAGATATTGGCACAAGCAAAGACTCCTTGGAAAAGACCCCAGAGGCACAGGTAGCCAAAGTCAAAATTAAGAAATGGGATTACAGCAAACTGAGAAGTTTCTGTACTGCAAAAGAAACAGGAAAGTGAAGAGGCAACTGACAGAATTGGAGAAAATATTTGCAAACTATGCAACTGATAAAAAATTAACAACCAGAATCTACAAAGACATCAAGAAACTCCACAACAACAAAACAAATGACTCATTTTTAAGAGATGAGCCAAGGACTTAAACAGACATTTTTCAAAAGAGGAAACCCAAACGGCCAACAGACACATGAAAAAAGCTCAGGATCACTAGCTGTCATGGAAATGCAAAACAAAACCACAATGAGGTTTCACCTCACCTATTAGAATGGCTTTCATACATAAATCAACAAACAACAAATGCTGGTGAGGTTATGGGAAAAAAGGTACCCTAATCCACTGTTGGTAGGAATGCTAATTGGTAAAGCCACTATGGAAGACAGTTTGGAAATAGCTCAGAAATACGAGTATAGTCCTACCATAAGACCCAGCCATCCTACTCCTCAGAATTTACCCAAGGGAAATAAAATCAGCACATAAAAGAGTTATCTGTACCTCCATGTTTGTTGCAGCTAAATTCACAATAACTAAGACATGGACTCAACTTAAATCTCCTCAACAGAAGACTGGATGAAGAAATTATGGGATATGTAACATTATGGGATACTGCAACAAAATGAATGAATCTAAAAAACAAAACAAAAACAAACAAACAAAAAAAAAACAGTTCCAAAGGGACCAATACCATATGTTCTCCCTGATCTGTGACAACTAACACAGCACCTAAAAGGAAACTTGTAGAAGTGAAACTGACACTATGAAAGCAATGACTTGAACAGCCCTTGTCTTGACTGTCAAAGAACAGTTTATTATCTTTTTTTATTATTTTCTTTTTCTACTTAATACCACTGGTCAAACTCTTTACTTAACATAGAATTACTCATAAGTGTTTAAATCCAATTGAAAATAGATACCAGTAAAACTAAAGAGTGGGAATAAGAGAGGTAGGAGCTGTACAGTTCAGCATACATTCCCATGGACTTACCCCAGGGGTAAAGCTAAAATCTTGCCATGGGACTCGAAATCTCATTCAGCTAGGTGGTACTAATGCCATCTTACATGTTAAAGTGAGCATATTAAGTGTGAAATTGATCATATAGATAGGATTAAGTGTCAAAGGGATCACATAAATAAGACCAAGGGTCTGTTATAAGAACAGATAGAGTTAAAAAGGAGATAATGTTCCAACACGGGAGCAGTCCACACAGCAGACTCATATAATGACAAATGCCCTAAACAGCATCCTGACCTCAGAATCAGACTTTACAGCATTCAGATCTGGCTAAAAACCCCATGAGAGCATTTCAGGCATGGAAAGCCAAGACACTGTGGCATAAAATGTTCTACATGAAGGATCTCTTTGATCAAGGATCTAAAACCAATTCCTGGAGCAAGGACAGTCTATTCAATAAATGGTGCTGGGAAAACTGGATTTCCACGTGCAGAAGCATGAAGCAAGACCCCTACCTTTCACCTTACACAAAAATCCACTCAACATGGATTAAAGATCCAAATCTACGACCCGACACCATCAAATTATTAGAGAACATCAGAGAAACCCTGCAAGATATACGCACAGGCAAAGACTTCTTGGAAAAGACCCCAGAGGCACAGGCAGTCAAAGCCGAAATTAACAATTGGGATTACATCAAATTGAGAAGTTTCTGTACTGCAAAAGAAAACAGTCGGGATAGTGAAGAGGCAACCAACAGAATGGGAAAAAATAATTGCAATTTATGCAACTGATAAAGGATTAATAACCAGAATCTACAAAGAGATCAAGAAACTCCACAACAACAAAACAAACAACCCACTTAAGAGACGGGCCAAGGACCTCAATAGACATTTTTCAAAAGAGGAAATCCAAATGGCCAAAAGACACATGAAAAAATGTTCAAGATCACTAGCCATCAGGGAAATGCAAATCAAAACCGCAATGAGGTCTCACCTAACCCCAGTTAGAATGGCTGGCATACCAACTTACATACTTACCAACTTACATACTAACAACAGAGACTGGCAAGGATTTGGGGAAAAAGGGACACTAACCCACTGTTGGTGGGAATGCAAACTGGTTAAGCCACTATTTAAGTCAGTTTGGGTATTTCTCAGAAACTTGAATATAGCCCTACCATACAACCCAGCCATCCCACTCCTTGGAATTTATCCCAAGGAAAATAAATTGGGAAATAAAAGAGCTGTCTACACCTCCATGTTTATTGCAGCTGAATTCACAATAGCTAAGACATGGAATAAACCTAAAAGACCATCAAAAGTAGACTGGATAAAGAGATTATGGGATATGTACTCTATAGAATACTATACAGCAGTAAAAAAAATGAAATCCAGTCATTTGCAGCAAAATGGAGGAATCTGGAAAACATCACACTGAGTTAAATAAGCCAGTCCCAAAGGGACAAATATCATATGTTCTCCCTGATCTGTGACAACTAACTGAGCACTTAAAAGGAAACCTGTTGAAGTAAAATGGACACTATGAGAAACAATGACTTGATCAGTCCTTGTCCTGACTGTCGAGGAACAACTTACTATTTTATTCCTTTTA